GTCATCTGCCTGGTAGCTGACCTGTTAGGAATTCCAGGGCGGGACCGGCATCTGCGTCACCATCCACCTGGTGCCTGGCCTGTTAGGGATTCTAGGAAGGGCCCAGGATCTGCGTCACCATCTGCCTGGCGGAGGCATGCATCAGCTCCTGGACCCCCTTTCGACCTAACACCCACCTTCACTGCTTTAGTTAAAGTTTAATGTCAGACCATCCTTCGTGGTCACTTAGGTCTGAGTTTGCAGGGCCGCCACGCAGGCCTCCCCTGAGCTGTCAGGTCAGCACGTGGCCCCTTCCGTCCACCATGTCATCTGTAGGGAGACAGGTCAGGGGGTCCCACCCTCAGGCCCAGGGAGATGCTAGGGGAGGAGAGGCCCCCTGGGGGCGAGGTCCCGCCCTACGGGCTACCACAGGGAGCTTTCCACGTGGTGACCTTCTGACCTTCGCCCTTGCTCTGCCCCTGTCCCTCTAATTGCCCACCACACTTCCCTCCCCTGCCCCAGCCACAGGGGCTCCCTGCCTGGGGCCATTGTCTTGCAAGGGCGACTCCTTCGGAGGAAGGTGGCTGGGCGTGGGTACTCTGTTCCCACCGTGTGAAAAGGGGCCACAACTGAACCCCACAAGCTCGGGGGAGGCCTGCGTGGCGGCCTTACAAACGCAGACGGAAAGCCATCCCATAGGAGGATGTGGAATGGAAACTTGTTAATTGAAAGCTGTTCATGGCCCGTCGTCCAGTCCCAGGCTGGAATCCCCCCTGCAAAGGTCAATCTTGACCTTCACTGGCCAGTTCATTGCCTTTTGCATCTAAGATAACGTGCCTTCGGAATGTCAAGGGAACTTCTCATTTTCCAGACCCCAGGGCCAACCCACACACGGGGCAGAGACCAGGAACCCTCTCGCCGCTGCGTTAATTGCCGACCTTACCCAGAACCCACGCGTGTGGAAGGTGCATGTGTCAGTCATCTTTCATCCAATCCCAGAGGCCCCGCCCCCTGACCTCCCCCCGCGGGTTCCATGCAGCCCCCGTGATTGTAATGAGGGAAATAGGGGCACAGCTGCGCTCTCCGGAGAGAACTTCTACCCGGTGAGGTGCTGCTGCTCGCGTCGGTTTGGCTCAGATGAACTCGCACACATTCCCCAGGTCTGACCCGCGGGAGCTCCAGGGGGCGGCAGGCTCCTCCCAGAGGCCCCCAAGTCCAGGCGCCCGAGCACG